GCTGGTCTCTGGGGCCCCAGGGACAAAGCAGACCTTGTACCCAATTCCTAAGAGAATTACAGAATGGAGGGAGTGTGGCTGACATTGATCCTTGGACTGGTCTTTTCTCCCCTATCTCCTGGCCACCATTTCTTTGTCCTTTCTCGGGCCACTGTGTTCCTGAGAGGCAGGTGGCATGGTGGGTTTACTGGACACTTTGGACAAGTTCCTAATTTCTCTGGCCTCTGTTTTCCCACAGGGAATTGTCACTCTCTTCCTGGGTACAGGCTTTATCATTATTCAGACCTGCATCCTAGTCCTGGCCCACCACTGACTCGCTGTGCCACCCTGGGCAAGTCACCAGCCTTCTCTAAGCCTGTTTCTTGTCTCTAAAATTGGGACAATAGCCCTAACTGGTTTGGCTCAGTGGATTAGAGCATCGGCCTGTGGACTGAACGGTCCCAGGTTCGATTCCAGTCAAGGGCATGTACTTTGGTTGCGGGCACATCCCCAGTAAGGGGTGTGCAGGAGGCAGCTGATCAATGTTTCTCTCTCATCGATGTTTCTGACTCTGTATCCTTCTCCCTTCCTCTCTGTAAAAAATCAATAAGATATATTTAAAAAATAAAATAAAAAATAAAATTGGGACAATACAACTCACCACACAGGGTTGTTGTAAGAGCAAATGAGATCCTGCGATAAAAGCACTTAGCTCAGTGGCTGGCACCTGCCGAGTAGCCAAGACACTGTAGCAGTGAAGCCGCTCAGGAAAGGGAGGCTCGGAGAGGTGGGGTGACCGCCCCGGGGTCACACAACAAGCAGGAGGTGAATTAGGACTGGCACCCAGGTTTCCAGCTTTCCAGTTTCCTGCCCGGGACCTATGGAGACGACACAGTGGTTACTCTGGGAGCTGTTGGGGGCATTAGGCTTGACCTCACAGCCCCTCGGTCCCCGCCTGCCCCTCTGCTGGTGGCTTCCAGGTACATGGTCAGTTCTAGCCTCCCCTACAGGAATGTTGGGGTTCAGGGCCCAAAGCTGTGAACATATGCTGTGGGGAGAGGAGAGGGAAGCATGGGGGTGCAGGTCTACAGGCAGGACTCCTGATCTCACGTGACAAAACCTCAGGTCAAATGAACTGAGACACCACCCACAGGTCGGTGGAAGGCGAAGCTTCAGGCACAGCTGGACAGGGCGCCCAGGAACCTGTGCATCTCCAGCTCTCAACTCTGCCATCCCTTGGTTTACCTCGGATGGTGTCTGCAGTGCGGAGGACCGTGCCCGGCACACAGTTCACCTGGTGCCAGCAGCTCCAGGCTCACTTCCCACCAGCTTTGCAAACCCAGTGGAAAATCTGCCTCCTTCCCAATGTTCCAGCAAAAGCTCCAGAATTGACGGAGTCGCCCAGTGAAGGCCTCCCATCCACCCCTGAGCCAGTGGTGGGGCCTGAGGAGCCCCCTCTTCCCTCATCGGCAGGCCTGGGTCACAGGCCCACCGCGCCCAGATCCTCAAGACTCCAGGCAAGGAAGGAGGGGGTCCCGCAAAGGAACAACAGGAGGTGGGGCCCTAATCGTCAGAGGGGGTCTGGGAATTGGGTGGGAAGAAACTGCTGAGGAGCGGAACGATAACTGCCAGCAGGGCAGGCCAGGCGGCTGGACCTGGGCCATCTCCTCCCAGCCGACTGGAGCCTGGTTATCTGGGAGGATGGGCGGGTCCTGAAGACACCAAAGGAGGCTGTCAGCCAACTGCACTGCTTGCAGCTAAACGGCTGGTTCTTTCTTAAAGAGAGACCCAAGTGATACATCTCCACAGGGAAAAAGCGGAACATCCTGGGGGGTCCAGGCAAAGAACAAAGACCCTCCCACACCAGCTCCCGGGAAAAGGGGTTTATGGGAGGGTCTTGGGATCTCCCAGAGCCCTGGGTGGGAGGAGCTGCCGCCCCAAGGGCATGACTAGTTAAACCAGGCACCACAGACTCTCCCTCTCTGTCACTGCTGCCTTCTGAGCCCTGTTCTTCTCTCTCTCTCTCTCTCTCTCTCTCTCTCTCTCTCATCTCCCAAGGCCACTTGTGACTTCTCAGCCCTGGGCTCACCAGGTCCATCACGGTGTCTGGCCTCCTCATCTCATTTCCAAGGCAGAACCTGTTGCTGACTTTGCCAACCTCAGCTTCCTCATCCGTAGCGTGGAGATGGGCATTGTGAAGAGGAAATGAGATGTGGCTTGAAAAGCATTTTGCACAGAGCTTGGTGCACAGTCCATGTCCAGATTGTGGTGGGGATGACGTGAGCTCAGTGACGGACAGCTGGGCCGGGCACATAGCAGAGGCTCGGGAGAGGCAAGTTCCCTCTTTGCTCGGCCCGTAGAGGCTGGAGAGAAACCAAAGGAAGCAGCTCGGGCCCCAAATTCCCCAAAGCTGCAGCTTCCCCTTCCCTGCACTCAGAATGGTTGTTTCAGTTCCCGCTTTAATTCTTGTTGAAACGAAGGTGAGGAGGGGAAGTGGGAAAGAGAAGAGAAATCAGCTTTCCTGCCCTCCCTGTGCCCTCCTCCTGCCAGGTTTGCCTGCTTTTGTGGTCAGCCTGCTACCACAGCTGAGACCAAAACTCCGAAAGGGGGTGGCTCGGCCCCTGCCCACAGTCTTCTGGGTGCCAGAGACACACTGTCTTCGGGAACCTGGCCTCAGGCCGGCCTGAGGTGGACTTCAGGGGGCTGGATGCTGCCTGGGTCAGGGATGGGTTGGTGACTGGAGCACAGAGGGCATGATGACCCTGTCCGAGAGGCACCGTGATTAGCCCTGTCCGTCAGCCAGAGATGCAGGCTCGTTGAGGGTAGGTGGCCCGTGCCAGGTCACACAGCAATTGGTGGTGGATCCCGGCTTGTCTGACTCCTCAGGGGAAGGAAGCTGAGTCTTGCCCCCACCATCCTGTGCCTTTGCTGCTAGATTCACAGGCCAGGGGCTGGGCAAGGGGGATTCCGGGCTAGTTTCCCAGCAGCCAGGCCAGCCAAGGTTGGGAGGCCTCTTCCCACATCCAGCCTGGTCTGGGCTGGTTCCTGGCTGGCTGGCAGGCGTGACTCAGGCTTCCAGCTCCTGCCTCTGGCCAGCAGGCCTCCTCATCCCTTCCAGATATGAGGTCCTTGGGGCGGGGGCAGAGGAAGAAGGGGGGCTGCTAGGTCATCTGCAGGGTGTCCTGAGACCATAAGACCCAAGCAGCCCAAGGCGCTCCAACCCTTGTCAGCGCTTCCTTACGTCTAAACTGAATTGCTTCTGCAGCATAAACTGACCCGTGGTTGTTGCCTGAATTGTAAAAAGGTTGTCCCTTCTGTGGGGTGAGAGATTGCATTCAGTGTTTCTGCTAATAGTACCTGGAAGTGGAAAGTGTCCCGGCAGAGGAGAGAAACTTGCACATGGGCGGAGAGGCTGGGAAGCCAGGTGGGGAAGGCTGAGGCTGGGCAGTGGCACTGGGGCTCTGCTTGAGGGTTTTATGATGGGCCAGCGCCCTCAGGCCTCCCCTCTGGTCCCTCTTTGCTCACTCATCCCATGCTCTGGCTGCAATATTTATCCTTCATTTCCCACACAAGGTAGGCCCAACCCCCACCTCAGTGCCTCCCGCCTGGGATGTCTCTTCACTTTTCCAAGTCCAAGTCCCCTTGGCCCTTTAAGGCCCAGCAACAGACATGTCTTCTCCAGGGGCCCTTCCAGGTCCCTCCCTCCCAGGTGTACCTATGAGCCCTAACACCTGAGCTCTCCCCCCAGGTCGCAGGAACTGAGTCCCAAACCCTGCCCTGAGGCTGACACCCCCAGGAAGCCCTTGGAGCTGCTCCCATTCTTGGGACACACCCTGGTGGGTGTGACCACAGGAGTTCCGCGGAGAACTGGCTGCTGGACTGAAGGCCAGGCCTCCTTGCCCTTCTGGATCCCAGCCCAGCTCAAATCAGGCCAGGAAATCCATGCTTCTAACCTGCACAAGCAGCCTCCTAGCAGACCTGAGTTTGCAGTAGGTGTTCAATTCATGCACGACGGACCAAGTGTTTACTGGCAATTCAAACCTGAATGTTCTCAGTTTGGTCTAAACTTTTGGCCCTGACTTGGTTCCTCACTCTGCTGGCCTGTAAAATGGGTTCGGGGGTGAGGTCAGTGCTTATACTGTGCAGAATAAAAGGGTCCTCTCTCCCTCTGGCAGCTCATCCGCACCGCCTGCTAGTGGCCATTATGACCACATTCTACCGAGAAGGTCAGAATCACACAGTGAATAGGGGCCAAGATAGAGCAAGAATCTGGGCCCACAGCTTTGAGTCCTGGTTTGGCAGCTGGACTAGCACAGGCGGGGAGAACCTCACTCAGGTGAGTTCTCAGAGGCATCACCTCTAACCCCACAGCCCATACCTATCACTCCCAGTGAGCTCCGGGCCAGCTAAAGGGGAAATGTGGGAATACCTGATGGCAGATAGTAGGTGTGCAATAAATGCTTTCGGAGAAAAGGAAGAGATCTAAAAAGGGAGGGAGAGGGTGCATAAGTGGATAGCCACATAGAGGACTGGGCACGTCAGCGAATGAGCTATTCAATAAATGGAGAACGAGGTGGGGGTGGTGGGTGGAGGAGTGAGTGACTGGGAAGATGGCTCTGGGCGTAACAGCTGAAGGAGGAGTCAGAAGCTCTTTAGTCACTAACCTGTCCATTTGACAGATGAGAAGACTGAGAAGAGGCTGAGGAGAAAAGAAGCTGCTGAGTCTATAGGGCTGACCTTTGACCAGCAGCC